ATCCGGCAGTTTCAAGGTCTTGGCTTCTTACTACGGCACTAAGCCTGGGGGAGTCTGATTCCCTTTTTTCTTGGGAAAAGGTAATGTAGTAGCGGCCAGGGCGCCTTCTGGATTGATTATTCAATCTACCGTCTGGAATTGCGCCCGTTTTCTTGAGTGTCTTCCTTCTTCTGAAACATCCTCTACAGGCATACGAGGGGCCTAGCTCTCTGATGTCCGCTGGTAGGGAATTCGGCAATGTTTTCCAGATAGAGCTGGAGAGTTTATTAAGATGGACTGGATAGCCCCACCATAGGTTTCAAAGATCATACTTATCCGCTCCCTGGTTCATTCATTTTCATGGTTTCCTCCTTTCTGTTGAAGTTGTCCACCTGTTTGTGGATTTCAATGGCTTCTCTGTGTAGCCTGACATGGTGGTTGTGAGAGTGGTCCAGCATTTCTGTGTTCTCAACCTATGTCCAGGTTGGTTCATCAAGTTCATCAAACTCCAACCATCTTTCTCCTACCCTGGACATCCCACAAACTCCATTTTCCTACTTTCCAACAGACCTCACAACCTCTGAGGAGAGAATGCTTCGGGAACATAACCATACAGCATGGAAAACTCACAACCTATTAGAGAAGGTTTCACGTTGGATCTGGATTCTCTGACATGGTGCAAACAGGAAAGATGTTGGGAATTGTGTATTGTGCTGCAGCGGGTACTCGATCAATCACAGCGGATGCCCCCAACTAGGTAAAACATCAGGGGGCTTGGGCTTTTTTGGGGAGGGATTGGGCAGGGTGAAGGGCTGGGGTTTGAAATATTTAAAAAACAGATGTAATAAAGGAAAATCTTATTAAATAACATCACATTCTGGGTGTTTTTCTTTAGTACAACAACCAAATGTGTGAAAGTTAAGCTCGCAAATGTGGAAGGCCAACTGAATGATACACACTTTTTCATTGCAACCACATGGCGTCACTGTTTTACCAAAGACTCTCTTGAAGCTGGGAAGCCAGGGGAAGGCTCTCTCTCCATTAACACATGCCTTTCTATTTAGCATCCTGGACATGAACAGACAGCCAGGAACGTGTTGTTGTTTATTCGTTCAGTCTCTTCTGACTCTTGGTGACCTCCTGGATCATCCCAGGCCAGAGCTCCCTGTCAGCCATGGCCACCCCCAGTTCCTTCAGAGTCAGGCCATTTCCTTCAAGTGCATTCGGAGAGGTAAGTGGGGCCGGAACCGTTTAGGGCTTTAAAGGCTAAAGCCAGCACCTTGAATTGTGCCCGGTAGCAGATTGGCAACCAGTGGAGCTGGCTCAACAGGGGGGTGGTATGCTCCCTGAGTGCTGCTCCCGTTAACAACCTGGCTGCCGCGCGCTGTACCTTCCAGTACTTTGTTTCCCAAATGAATTGGGGCATCTTTTTAAAACAAAAACCAAGTCACACATAAACACATACACATAGGAGATCTTAGTCACAGAGCTCCTTGTATATGACCTTTTGGTTCATGATCACAGTGCAGTTTGCTTTCTGCATGTGTTGGACTACAGCTTCTGGTTCCAAGTCAACCATGGTATATTGGTTGGATTATGGGAAATGCCATCCAACAGATGTGGAAGTCATGGGAATGTTAACATCTTCTTTAGCCCTTAGATGTTCTTCACAAGTGAAAAACATCTTGCCTTGAAGGCACACCAAATATCAAGGATACTTAACTCATGTTGTAATTCTGACCTAATGTTCAACATGATGCCTAAGACATTAAGGGAGTCACATATCAGTATTAGTTAATTGTATTTGAATTGGTTCACCATGATGAGTCATAAGTGTTAAACAGATTGCTACTTATATTAACTTTTTAAAATATTCTAATTCCTTTAATTTTATTTTTAAAAGAAGAGATTTAAAGCAAAGTAAAAAAATGGCAAATGCAGATTACTTAAAACAACAAATAATTTAAGGTATTGTTGAAGGCTTTCATGGCCGGAATCACTGGGTTGTTGTAGGTTTTTTGGGCTATATGGCCATGGTCTAGAGGCATTCTCTCCTGACGTTTCACCTGCATCTATGGCAAGCATCCTCAGAGGTAGTGAGTGTTTGTGACCTCACTACCTCTGAGGATGCTTGCCATAGATGCAGGCAAAATGTCAGGAGAGAATGCCTCTAGACTATGGCCATATAGCCCAAAAAACCTACAACAACCCAAATAATTTAAGGATGATGGCACACTCCAAACATTTGGAAATCTAAAAATCTTTTAAAAATGGATTGAAAAAAATAGAACAACTACCCCACTTTTCTCTTTCTTTTATGTAAATGTCTTAGCTTGCCTCTGTGACACCATACTATCACTTAAAATCAGAACTCATTTGAATTATAGTTTAATTATTTTGACAGATTTATTGGGACTATGGAATAAATCTTTTTATTCTTATACTTTCCCCTTTTTCCTGCCATACTAAGTTAAACACAGGAACTAGACGTAATCAATTACAGTAAATATTGCTGTTTCCATACTAGCATTTCTGAACAAGTAGCACACTCAATATTATACTACCCTTGGTTTTATATAAGTGAAATCTTTTAGTTTATTTTAGGTCACAAACAATACAACCATTGGTTTAGGGTACCCCATTCAAGTTTGTGTTAAGGCTTGAGGGCAAAAGTTTTGAGCTGTTTTCTGGGTCACATAAAATAGATTGTGGAAGCAGAAAGGAGGGGAAGAATAGGTATGGTGTGCAATTCCAGTTTCTTAGTCAAAGTGGCCTCAATGAATTGTCTTCTCTAAGAAGGACTGCTTTCTAGCTCTGTTTTTGCTGTGATTATTCATTTGCTGTCACCAGAAGTCCCCTTTTTCCATGTTTCTCTTCTCCTTATGGAGCAGAGGCATGGGCAATGTTGATTCTACCCATTCCTTTTGCTTCTTATACTCAATGATTGCACAAAGGACGCTTCTACACTGTCCTTATATCCTGGGATCTGATCCCAGATTATCTCTTTATCCCAGATTATATGGTAGTGGAGACTCATATAATCCAGTTAAAGGCAGATAATCTCGGATCGGATCCTGGCATGTAAGGATAGTGCAGAAGGGGCCAAAGAAGGCAGGGAAGCAAGTGACAACAGAGGAGTAGCAGAGATAAGGGATTCTGGAAATTGGTGGTAGGTCCCTTGGCAAGGAATGGGCTGTGGCAGGTATCTGACTGTACCAAATGCTGGTGCTTGATGCACTACATAGCAGGAGTGTGGATCATGCTTCTCTCCAGATATTTTAGGATTACAGTTCCCAACATTTCTTACCATTGAACATGCTATACAACATTGCTGGGAACTATAGTCTCACAATAGCCGGATTGCCACCATTGGTATATGTTCATGAAATGGATAAATGGTATAATGTACCATCTATGGTTGTCACATATCGACCTAGTAAATTATCTCTTCAGTACCTTAGCTGAGCATGATGCTTATTGCATCTGCTTTCACTCTTTAAGTCAGTAAAGTATAAAGTGGACCTAGAAAAAGAACAGACTCCAATTTCTCTGAAATTTGGGATATCATTAAATCATCCCTTTGCTGAAATGTACCTAAATGAGATTAGATTGATTTGAAAGTCATAAATTAGTCTAAAACTCAGAAATCTGCTTGGTCTAAAACCCAAAAGCTACCTTGGAGCCTTCATTAAGATCAATGTAAGTGTAGAAAACACTAGGCAAACATTACTGACTGGTGATGGGTGCTTACTATTTCATACTGAAAGAGGTTTACATTAGAAGTACAAGCAGTTTACATTAGAAGTACATTAGAAACAAATATAAGAGCAATAGGCTGCTGGAGCTCCGTATGTGTGGGTTTAACTTTTTCTGAATTGGTTATTAGCAGATGTTATGATTATATTCTCTCTTAAGAATCTGTAGATCCTTGAGGGTGTCTATGGTCAATGTCTACCCCAAAAGAGCAAACCCAATGTGGCTACTTTTACTGGATGGCTGGGTGCCCTATAGTGACCTCAGCAGAAATGACTTCAGCCACAAGGCTTTGTTTGGGAAGCTACTTCTGGTTGGTGAAGCTGCGGTGGTGATTCTCAGGAGGACAATGCACCAGTGCTAATGTACTGTTAGCCTGGATGGCCATGTGGACTGCAAAATGCCTTTGGGGCACTACCTCACCAATACATCCAGATCTCCTATGGTATATCTGCCTGGGTAGCTCCAGAGTAGATTGTTTCAGATTATTTCACCTGGTAGAGGTAGTTATAATCTATTATTGCCTTCATGAACTCAAAGGTAAGAATCATCTGATCCTCTAGTTATTGAATGGCAGCTCCCAGAATTCCTCTCTATTGGATATGCTGGCAAGACTGCTGGAAGGGCCAACCCAGCTATATCTAGAGGACCAAATAGTTCCCATCTCTCTATATATGCTGTCTTCCTGATTTGGTATTGTTTTTGATGGTAGTCAGCCATCTTGAGTCACCTTCGGATTTGAGAAAGGCAGGTTAGAAATATCGTAAATAAATAATAAATATATACGATAAAGCATAGTGATAATACAAATGACCAATTTCTTGGTATAGTAAAGAATGTACTTGATGCAACATGACCCTGAAGAAACAAAAGGGAATAAAAATACATTTAGCCTTACAAATAAGTAGGCGTTTGGAGAAAACTTTCCTATATGCGTGCCTGCTCCAGAGAATGTCTCCACTGAATGCTGAATCCAAGGGCAAGTGTTCCGTTGATAATGATTCTTTGTATTAATTATAATTGATTTATTTTTAAAAAGAAGTATTTTAGCATGACCTTCATTTGGCATTTGTCTTAACTTTTCTTCTACTGTTTTTATTTAATTCTTCCACTTCTGTTGTTCAATTAGTGTTTGACCCCTTTAGCAGAGATGTAAATTAAATGACATTTCAATGCCATCCCGTATTTAAAACACTGTGTTAGTTGTGGATCATAAAGGGTGATCTTCGTTCTTAAGCTAATTTATTCATTTAACAATTTCCCTCCAGAAGTTCCAGCAGAAGGCTCTGAAACAAACTAAGCAGAAGAAATCCAAGTCGGCTGAATTTCTGATGGGTGAGCCTTGCTTGATGAGTTATTGCTCATAATTTGTGTAAGGATTAATTAACTAATTACAGACAAATGGCTGTGGGCGAAATTTTGCTCTTGCTTGTCAGGGTGCAATTTGTAATTATTTTAATCATTTATCCCCCCCTTTTTTATTTTAATAAAGAGTTAATTTTAACCTAATTCTGTTTTGGTGCCATTTGATGCTGATAACACTCAAGCCTTTCAGTAAAGGAATTAGTAGATAGAATTTTCTGCTTGTCACTGTCTCGGGTGCTCATCTGACCTTGTTGCATTTTCCCCCAATAGGAGAAAACGAGGGAGTTGCAACAGAAGGTATTACAAATCCAGCTTTTAACATCAGCAGTATAAACCTTTCAGCATATCAGACTTCAGAGGTGGATGTTATTCGATGTGACAAGACGGATAGCACCCTTGTAGCTTGCCAACAAAAACTCAAGCAGCAAGCCCGGTCTGAACCAAGAGGTGAGACTTCACTCTTGATCATCATCCAATTGAATGACAGTGGTTCTGTTCTTGATCTAACCTGTGCATTCCATGGGATGTACCAGACGTTCCTCTTGCATTCCTCAGAAGGAACTACCTTGGAAACCAGGAAGGTTAAAACTGGAAAGCACAAAATGATTGCTGCAAATGTCTGATGTTAAAATGTCTGAAGATCTTTCTTTCTTTGTTCCCCCCATTGCCAGCCACATTCTTGTTAGAGAAAAGTAATACAAAGGCATCCTACATCAACAGATAAGATGGACTGAAAGCAAAATAGAATGATTTAAGTAGCATTAACTCATAATATATATATCAATTAGATGACAGAAAACATTTGCAACAGGAATCTGTATTCTGGTTGTCAATGCATTTTTATTGTGTGTCTTCAGGTAGTTCCTGATTTTTTTTTCTGTGTCAGAAGCGACTTGAGAAACTGCAAGTTGCTTCTGGTGTGTGAGAATTGGTTGTCTGCAAGGACGTTGCCCAGGGACACCCAGATATTTTACCATCTTGTGGGAGGCTTTTCTCATGTCCCCGCATGGGAAGCTGGAGCTGACAGACAGGAGCTCACCCCATCTCACAGATATGAACCACCAACCTTCAGGTCATCATTTCAGCTGGCACAAGGGTTTAACCCATTGTGCCACCACGGCTCCATGAATTAGTTCCTGAAGTAGGCCAGTCTTAAGGCTAGTCTATCATTTTCCTGGTAAGATTTGTTCAGTGGAGATTTGTTTTTGACTTCTTTTGAGGTTAAGAGAGTGTAACTTGCCCAAGGTCACCCAGTGAGTTTCCATGCTTGAGTAGAAATTTGGACCCTAGTCTTCAGAGTTGTAGCCATTATACCATGTTGACTCTCAGATGATACAGAGAAAGATAGAGAGAGAGGTAGCAATGCATTATTGTAACCTATGTATATTACAATTTGCAAATCCCAGTCTTGGGTAAAAGAAACTGGATAAAAAGAATGATGATGACAAAATGATGATATAGTCATTGAGTACTTATTCTTTTGTTAGTATGACATCAGCAGCATCTCCTTCAGTATGGATGAGTCCCTTGTCTGCAGCTTTTGGATGTGTTTAATCCTCAATATTTGTATTATGGCTTCTCAAGTATGTCAGAAGCACTTCATATGATCCAACTTCACAGCCCTATATTTGCTATAGAAATACTGAAGCTGAGAGGCAGGGGCTTATCTCAGGCCACCAAATTATGTGCATGGTTAAGATGATACTGAAGCTTGCCAACTCATATTTGTGTAGCACAATCCTGTACATATTTACTCATATGTGAATGCTGCTGTACTTAGTTTATTCTCTTGAAAATATGCGGTAGGGGTTATCCGTAGCCATTACACTTCAATAGCCTCTGTATTAGGAGTGAAAAACACTCCTTCAACTCGGAATGAAGGGCTTTACTTTTGTGATATAGTACCTATAAATCTTTGTCCCTAGTTGATGTGGGAAAATAAAAAGGTTTTTTGGCTGCTTGGCAAGCCAAGTAGAACTACTATGATCTCTTTCCTAGGAGTCAGGTATTAGCTTATATGTAAGCAGAAGACACTAAATTCATTCCCTGACATTTCCAGCTTTTTAAAATGGATAATAGGTGAAATTAGAGAGCTCTGCCCAAATCTGTGGAAAGTCATTGACAGTTAGAACTGATATTACTGTGGTAGGCAAAGGAAATATACACATCTAATATAAAGCAGCTTCCCGTGTTCTTCCTTTATTTATTAAAAAATTGAAAATATATTTCTCATTTTGTTATGAGATTTTTACCTTTTTGTTATGAAATTTCAGGGCAGCAAATGGTTAAAACAATATTAAGAATTTAAATGATAATCAATAATATAAAGAAGCTGAAGACATATTAAAGAGCTTAAAGAAGTCAAAAGCTCATCAAAGGCTAAAACAATTAGAAGAATGCACACGTTCTTTATAATGATGCAGTGCTTTCTATATTACATAAATAAATGATAAAATTGGCTTTAAAAGCTTTAATAGAAATCCGTCTTGACATGGTTTTGAAAAACCAATGCTGGCATCAGTTGGGCATTTAAGGGGAAGGCATTCCACAAATGAGATGCCACTGCCAAGAAGGCCCTCTTCTATGCCTTCCCCTCTTGTGTGCACCCCAACCCATAGAACACACAAGGAATTTCAGTCTATGGATAGGCACATACAGGGAAAATTACTCATTCGGGTTTCAAGGTCCTTAGCTCTTTAAAGTTTTGAATGTCATCAGTAGTACCACTGGAGATATTACAGCAGCAATATGTGAGACAAAATACACAGGGCAAAAAATAATGGGACCTGACAGCAAGCCCAAACACAGACCTGTCAGTCCTGGTAAATGGTCCCCCGCCATGTTAACATTTTCATTTGTAGTAGATTTTGGAAAGCTGCAAGATGGACAAGGGACATCCAGTGGAAGTTTACTTTTAAAAAATGGACTCTCCGAGATGCGCTGGACCTCATATGCACTCATGTGGATATCTAAATGTACACATAAGCAGATTTCGTATTATCTCTCCTTACCCTTCTGCAAATTCAAACTCTATCTAATTTTATAAAGACCAGAACAAAGGAATGGTTGCAGAGAGTTCTCATAGTAATTGAGCTTCTATTTAGCCACTGGTGTATCCTGTTTGTGCTCCCATTTAGCCACCTGTTTGTCAGTGGCTCTGTTTGTTTACAGCCTAGATCAGCTGTTTCAGGATTTTAAAGTGAGGACATATGCTGGAACAGTCCACACTAGTGTTTACAAACAAAATCATGTGTTTTCCTTGGCTGCATCGATATACAGTATGTGAATATGCACCTTTTTTGGCCGAAATTGGATTTTAAGAACATTTTTAACATGTGTTTTTCAGCTGTTAATCCAAATCAGCACACATTTTTATGAAACATCATTATTTATTTATTTATTTATTTATTTATTTATTTACAGCATTTATATTCCGCCCTTCTCACCCTGAAGGAGACTCAGGATGGATCACAACACACACATACACGGAAAACATTCAATGCCATTTTAGACATGCAGGACAGACAAACAGATAGAGGTATATCTGCATTTTCCAGTTTCGGCGCCTGGAGGTTATGCTCAATTCCAGCCACAAGGGGGTGCTGTTGCCCCATCTACTATGATGACGAGTTCTTTGATTTTGCTTCTTGTTCTTTGTTTGCTGGCATTTTATGGTGCCATAAAACACCTCCCCACTTAAGCAATACCAAATTTCTCTACTCACAGCTCAGCTGTTTCCGAACTGCTTAGGTGGACAGTGAGCTGGGCTGATGGTCAGGCACTCACTCCGACTTGGAGTGAGTACCTTCCCCTTCCCCTTTTTCCAGTTTCTTCCTCATTTTAGTGCATGTATAGTAGGCCATAAAAGTTTCTCAAAAAAATCTTTAGACAAACTGAAGATGAATTCTACAGCTGAGTGTAATTTCAATCACAACTAATCCATCTTTTGATATTAAATGACTGAAAACCTTAACCCCTATGCCTGCAATACATGAAGAATGCCTTATGCAGAATACCTTGTTTATTTTCGAATGTTATTATTTCAGCTGAGAAATTGCACTCCAGTTAGCCAAAATATTTTAGGGAAAATTCTCCGGCAACAAATAGAAAATTAAAGAAATCTCATTCCATTCAAGTTCAATTTAATAAGATGTCCCACGGATGGCTAAATGAGAGATTCCAAAATTCTTAGTTTCTCTGCCATCGTGCTGTTTTTCTCTCTCTTGCTTGTCAATACAATTTTACCTTGTAGCAATTCCTTGCCTTTAAGCACATCCCAGGCCTTTCTTGTGGATTTAAATTTTTGATAGTTAAACCACTTAATAAAAGCTGCATCAGCTAATAGTGTTTATTAACGAGCTCCATTAACACCAGCAAGTATTATTTTCTCATACATGATTCAACCCACGGCAGTTCCACAGAAAAGCCAGCAGGTCTTATACTGGCACAATGCCCTCTGCTGCCTGCAGTAAAAAAGCACTGCCAACAGAACTATACAGTGCAAAATAAGACTGACTTGACAAACAGCAGCAGATGCAGTCAGTTTCCCAAGGAGGGATATAGCAAGCAGGCTAGATGGCAGAGAATTTGATTCTGCCTATGCTCCTGAATATTATCAGGCGCCTGTCAACAACACTGACAATTTAAAGCAGATTTAAATGTCTGGACCTGAGCATATCTCCGTTTTTCTTGTGACGGTTCCACTTCCAAATGCACTGGGGGAATTATTGTCAGAATCTTGAATGTGGAAAGTTAACAGGCCAGGTAAAAATTGGAGGTGAAAAGTTTTTTTCCTCTGGCAGCTTGGTAAAGTGGACTTCTGTGATGTCACTGGAGGAAGGAAAGGAGGAAGGAAGGAAGGAAAATGAAAGGAAAGTAGAAGGGAGGGAGGAAGAAGGGAGGGGGAAAAGAAAAGAAGGGAAGAAAATAAGGAAGTGAAAGAAAGGATATGCGGGGAGAAAAAAAGAAAGAAGGGATGAAAGCAGGGGAGCAGCAGCCTCTGGGATATCAGGGCAACTGCTGCTATGTATGCTCCTGTTCAATAAAGATCTACCATCCTGTAACTTAAAAACTATTCGACCTAGTTCTATGGGGTCATGAAGGCTGCAGTTTTGCAAGGCTTGAGCCTTCTCTTCCAAAGAGTGTGGATGCCTCATCAAACTACAAATCCCAGGATTACATAGCAGTTAGCACAATTAAATTACAGATGACACCCCTCAAATAGGAGCTCCAGGTGCTCCTGAAGCAGCTTCCCCTGTTGTTTTGGTTTAGCACTAAGATCACCCTATTATATGAGGAGTCCCTGGTGGCGCAGTAGGACTGAAGACCAACAGGTCGCAGGTTCGAATCTGGGGAGAGGTGGATGAGCTCCCTCTATCAACTCCAGCTCCTCATGCGGGGACATGAGAGAAGCCTCCCACAAGGATGATTAAAAACATCAAATCATC